CTACTAATTTTTGGGGAGAGGATTTTATTTTTAATGAAAAGAAAAGCGATGTAAAATATTTAGGGGAAAGTATTATTAAGTGAGGATGGATCAGAGTGGCAGACAGAATGGACTATTTACAAACAGCTTATTAATATTGATTAATGTAATGTACACAAATAAAAAAAAACAATCCCCAAACTATTCTTGGCTCAAGATTCATCGGGCTTAGGCTCCAGAATAACTGGAATTTTCTCCATGTGATCGCCACGTAGCACCTCCACTGTCACCTGAGCGTCAAACAAATTGTTACCCATTATCAGCCTCTATTCTCATTCATCAAACATCCATTAAAACATATCCTTTTCTTAACATCGCCACAAAATTTGAACTACTACAATTTTTTTATACCAATTTCAGGGACTAAGATTGAATACTTAAACAGAGTGAGGGTTGGAATAAAAAAATTGAAAGTTTAGGAACGAAAATAGGATTTGAAAGCCTAATTGAAAGGTTTGTGGCTATGTAATGTGACTAAAAGCCACATGCTATGCTACTGTTCAGAATCATGAGGGAATGTATCTTATGGTAATGGCTTCATCACATGGGGTCTTGCTGGCTTTTTCAGAGCCTACAGCTTAGAAAATTTTTCATTGGTTCAAGTGGATGGAACCATTTAATATTTCACATAATGATACATAATTGTGTATTATAATATTTAGTCAACCAAATATTGGCAACACATGTGATTGATGATGCAATATAGAAGGATATTTTAACTGTTAAGATACTATAGATAAAGAAACTTTCAAAACTTTAGGAAGTTTAATTGACACTTCTCAAAGTAATTCATTAACTCATTCAAATGACATGTTTTGAGTGATTTTGAAAGGGTCAAAATCACTCTAAAACATACTTTTAATTCTTCAAAATCAAGTTTAATAGTATGAAAATTGTATTTTAACGTGTAAAATCAATTACTGTATAGATTTTGAATGTTTAAAGACGTGTGTGAGTGATTTGAACGACTTCCAAACATGCCCTAAACCTCTCTCTAGTTCTTTGAACAGAAAAACATGACTAGCTAGTCCCTTCAGTTATTGAAAGTTAGCACCATGTGTGCCCACAAAAATTTCTATTGTTTGCATGGACCCATCAGATCCTATCAAACCAGCCTCTTTGTTAACTTTATTATGGATCCACTCAAGCATGAACCCAAGTTTTGAATTATTTCCTAATAATCATAACCTTAACATAAAAGCAGCATGAGGCCTCCTTTAATCAAAAGTTAAAGAGTTCAAACAAGCAAAAGTAAAGAGATCAAATAGGAAAGTTCAGAGTACCTTGTCACCAACTTTACATTGGTCGAGAATTCTATACAAATCGCTTCCATTCATGACCTTTTTCCCATCCACTGATGTTATTATGTCTCCCAATATAAGTCTACCATAAGCATCCCGCTTCGTTGGTCGCAGGCCCTGCATATAATGTGTATCAATCAAAACTCCTTGAACTGAAGTATTGAGGTTGGTGGTGTTTTGGTATAAGAATAGGAATGCAAATAGAAAAGGAGAGGAAATCAATACAGCTTTCCCAGCAGGACCATTTGCAGGAGCATCTAAGACGAGCACTCCGCTTACGCCCAACTGCTCGACCGACTGATCGGGAGCAAACTTGATTCCTAAAATTGGTCTTGTCACCTTCCCAAATCGCACCAGCTGATCAACAATGCCGCTTACCTAATTTGACAGAATGTTGATGAATAGTTGAGTTCTAAGTTCAAACCAAGGGAATTTCAACAGCTTGTAAAATAGTCATATGTTTACTAACTGTGTCAACTGGGATTGAAAATCCAACACCTGAGGATGCCCCAGATGGAGAATAAATTGCTGTGTTTATTCCGATAAGGTTCCCGGAACTATCGAGAAGTGGCCCTCCACTGTTTCCAGGATTAATGGCAGCATCTGTCTGTATGACATCTTGAATAGGCCTACCAGTAGCAGCAGAACTAATTTCTCTGCGAAGGCCACTGTCATGGGCAAGATGGATGCTTAGTATAACAGTTTCAAAGCTTGGACATACATAATTAGCATATCTCATGTAGGCCAAGCCGATTATGCAATTGAGCGACCATGAAGAGAACAAACTTAAGGATTCATAAGGTAAATGATAAAACCTGTGGATTTCATACCTGATTACCCCGGTCGTAAGAGTATGATCCAGTCCAAACTGCGCAGACAATAATCATTATATTTTAGATATCAAACGGGGAAAGTACGAGATAATAAGCTACCATGATGAGACTGAATTCAGGACTAAATGAAAAAGGTGATGACCATGTGGAAACTAATCTAGAACTTCAAGACCTGGGATGCAAAAATCTATCTTTTAGTTCACTTTTGACTAATTTTGTAGATAAAACTATTGCATACTTTTAGTGCTCTTTTTGACTCATTTTGTTGATGAAACTATTGCATGTAAGGACAGGGAAGGAGTGTTGTGAGATCCCACGTCGGTTGGGAGGAGAACGAAACATTTTTTATAAGGGTGTGGAAACCTCTTCCTAGCAGACGCACTTTAAAAATCTTGAGGGAAAGTCCAAAGAGGATAATATCTACTAGCGGTGGGCTTAGGCTGTTACAGGTATGGTGCAATTAACACACGGTAATATCTATTTGGAATCATTTTGAAAGGGAATGTTCTTTTCAGAGAAAGCTTCATCCTTGATTATTCATTTTTTGTTTTAAGAAATCAATAGCGTGAGCTTGGATATGTCAATGTGAGCATACACCCAAAGTAGAAAGCAGTGAATAGAAAAACTTACAGGGTTTCCAATAGCAAACACTTTCTGACCAACAAGCAAATCTGCTGAGATACCAACAGGTATAGGTCTTAGTTTGTCTTTAGGTGCATCGATACTCAAGACAGCAACATCCTTGTCTTGGTCAAAACCAACAACTTTTGCATCGAATGTAGTTTGGTCAGCTAGAGTCACTCTGTACCATAACTAAAACCAGTTTAAACGTGAATAATATAGAGCCACCACTAAGTCTTAAGTTTAAATTCAAATCCAATTTTTAGCTCATTACAAGTACAAAAGAACTTGATGGTACTTTGTTTGTGCTTTCCTGAGGCAAGAGAGTTTTGGAAATGCTCTTTAGTTGACTTATGGCCTCATATTGAATACCTATGAGATCCAATTGAAGAAATGATTCGATACTCAGACTCTTTTGCTTCTACTAGAGTTTTCTTGAAATCAAATGCGGTAAGGTTAGGCAGTTGTCTCGTGACTAATATGAATAGTCGAGGTGAGTGAAAGCTGCTCTTTAGTTGACTTAGGGCCTCAAATATTACTGACAACGCTCTAATATCGTCTTCTTGAGGTTATATAAGGAAAAACTTCGAGTTATCATCTCCATCTTCAAGCCACTAGATCCTGCAATAGTGTTACTTTGAAACCATCTAATGTCTTTTATTCGCTTTTAGATTATGATGTCAAAGGCTTACATATAGAGACACTTCTTACAATATACATATCAAAGACACCAATCTCACAATAAAATACCACCAACACAAAATCACATAGCCAAAAATATGACATAGTTCTGCCGAATGTGGCTGCACATTTTGGAACCATCTAATATCTTTTACCAACAACTGTAAACCATATAAATTTCACATCACTTCCGCATAGAGTGTTCATAACTAACCTGAGATCAGAAGCACCACGAATTACATGATAATTGGTGACAACATGACCGTCCTTATCCCACACAAATCCAGAACCTGACCCCTGTGGCACCTCCAACACGTCTAAAGTAAAAGCATCCTGCCTAAACCCATATCAAAATTACGTTTCAAAGCGACAATCGTACCAAAATTAGAGTCCAAATAAACGACCCAAATTATAATCAGAACTCATCGTGTAATAACCTTGCAGCAAGATTTGTGATATAAACTACAGACGGAGTATTCTCCTGAAAAAGACGAACTGTAGCGAGCTCATCCGTCTGCAATTTTCTGGGCGTGGTGACGACAAAAGCAACCGCGGGATCAACATCTGTAAGAAAGAGAGAAAAGGACAACAGCGCTGAAGTGGAGAAGATTAGCAGCGACTCCCAAGTTGAAGCGAAGGGGTTGGAGGGAGGGGGAAGCTTTGTGTGAGTGGTAGCTGAGATTTGAGTGTGGTTCTTGTTGTGGGGAAGAAGAGAGCAGATGGGGTATCTAAGATGGGAACTGGGGTTGGTGAAATTCTGAAGAGAAATGGATTTAGAGAGAAAGAAGGGAGTGGGTGTTCTGTTTGGAGGGCGAGAAGGCGGAGAGAAATGGGAGAAAGTAGAAGCGAGGGAAAATGCAGCAGCCATTACTACTTTTCCGTTTGGACAGTTGCCGCAAATTGGATCGCTGAATCCAATTCAACCAGTTTTATGATAATATTAAATTTTTTTAAAATAAATTTGGTGTACGCATTTTTTATATCCACTGCGGTGCCTGCAATTGTTAACTTATTATTATTGGTGGACAAGACAGGCATATATATATAAATCATAATCTCTTCTTCTTTAGTTCGGATTTGCTCCATTGCCTGAGTGGCATAAGTAAAAGAAATTTCCTTTCAAAGGTAATATTCTAAGTTGGGGTGAAGTGTGTACCCATGACTACAATCATTTGGAAGTTCCTCAGGGATCTATTCAAGCGTCATTTGGATGTTCCTTAGGGATCGATTCAAGGGTTCCTTACAGATCGATTTACGATTAACTAAACGTAGAAAGCCTTCGACTAGTAGGCAATTGTGTTTTTCACATAATTTACTTCTAATATCATGTCAACATGCTTACTTCTAATATCTCCAGAGTGTTGGTCACTAAAAACCTTTCTTGATTGATAGAACATCAAGCTACTCACACTTCAAATTGTATTAGTTAAAAGAAATGGCATGAAGAAGATTATATATATATATATATTAAAAAGTCCGTTTCTAATAGCTTGTTTTGTCAAGCTGGGTGAAAGATCCCGTTCCAGAATCAAACGAAAAGCATTTGGAAAAATTTTCAGAACTTTTTAGTTTAGAATAACACATTTAGGCTATCCTGATGGCCAGAACCTTATGAACTCGACAAAATGCAAAGACAAAGCACATACGAGGAAACAACAGATAACTGGCCATCACCTGACTGTCTAAAAATCTCATTTTAATTCCTGGCAACTACTTCCCACTCTAGGCCTCTCCTTGTCAGTGGAAGAGGCCAGAAGAGGGAAAGAATTAACATTTTTTTGAAGTCCTATACTAGAGTTAATTCTAATCCAAAATTACAAGGGAACCATCTTCTGTTCTTCAGGATAAGAAGCCACGTTTGCTTGTGTCAGGTAGAAACTTGACAGGGGAAAAAGTTCACAAAATCTTGTTCAAGGGTCTTAATTCATTCGGAATGCCATCAAAATTTCCAGCATTTATATCCGACTGCAGCATCGGTCTCTTCCCAATTTTCCAAATCAAGCCCTCAGCCAGGTGTTCCTTGCTTGGTGTAAGCATCACAAAGTTTGGATCGGCTCTTTGATAACTGAAAACAGTGAAGTGAATCTACAGTTACTACAAGAGCTTGAATGATATGCCCCGTTTCAGCGAACAATTCAAAACTCAGTGACCAAATTAGCAGAGCCAACCCAAGATTTCATATTTTTAAATAAGAAAGTTTAATACTCTAATATACGAAAAGAGTGGATCATAGTATGGGGAAATGCTAATAATATGTGGCAAAGGATAGAAGATACAATGCTTTCATACAACCTGGCCTCTCTAAGATTTTCAACACGGATGCCAAATCCATATGCAGTTCTTCCAACTATACGATCCCTGATAGCTGCATAACAGTCCAAGTAATCATTTAAAACTTACATGATAATTTATAGTTATGATCCACTATGGCATATAAAGGTTCGAGAGATAGATGCAATTAGACAATTCATCACTGGTATAGAACTTACCAAATCATCCATAACAAACAGGAAAAGACCCTCAAGCAAAAGTACACATGAAAGCAATAAAAAGTTCCAAATAAAACACTTGTAGACTGACAGACTCAAAAATTTGAATTATTTCTGTTCCGTGTCTTAGTAAATAGGGGAAGTTGTGTTCTTTCTGTAGCTACCTAATGGAGCTGTTTATCTAGAGATGTTGTAACTACTCACCCAGCGTCCATTTTTAACAATTGAGCTGCTTTTCAGTTAGCTGTTTGGATGTCGGATGTCTCATGCTTCGTGGGATCTTTTCTTCCCTTGTTACCCTTTTTACCGTATCTAAAAGAATGCAAAATTTAGAGCCCATTTCCACGTGCATCCTAATCCTGGATCTAATTCGCAGTGTCCTTACTAGGAATCAACTCCAGAAAGTTGAAAGCCCCCAAATGTCCTCAAAATTGTGCAGTTCATGCATGGAGAAATCTAGGTATAACTAAAACTTGTTGATGATAATTTAGATGTCCAGAGTTTCAGTCAATTTTGGGATGGTTGTATCAGAGTGTACCAGAATTTTGGCGATAAAATTAAGGTAGCACATAGTTATACAGTTATATTACAAATGCGTAGGATAGGCATTTATCAGTGTGTAAAGTAGCACATGAAACACCTTAATAGGATACCGCGTAAATGTACGGACTATATCCCTAAAGATACCTGAGATGCTGAAAGTAAATGAAGGTTTCCACCATGACTTGAATGCCATAGCAAGTGAGGAGCTAAGAGGGCCCACCTTCCCCTGTTGAGGGCAAAATATAGTTGTAGGATTTGGTTTTTTCCATGATGCATTAAAAAAAAAAAAAAAAAGAACAGATGCTTGTTATACCTTCAGTAAGAAATTTTTATTCGCTTGCCATGATGCTGCTATTTGAAAAGTGGAATCGGGAATATTATTTTCTGGTTTCACGTCATCAACTCTAAAACAAGGTAGATTATAATTTTATAAGAACATTAGAAACTACCAATTGGTCGTGTTCTAACTTATTACTCAAGAATGTATACCTAGTCTGCAACTCAAAGCCAAAGTCAATGTAATTTGTGATTCCGACAATTTCATTTTCTTCAAGGGGGTTCTTCACCTAATTGATTAGAGCAGCTGAAATTTTGTAAGGGATACAAGTAGAAGAAGGATGCATTCTCAAGCCAACAAATGCAAGGCAGATATAATATACATCAAATCTCAGGTATGTATGTATGTATGTATGTATGTGTGTGTGTGTGTGTGTGTGTGTGTGTGTGTGTGTGTGTGTATATGTTCTACAATCTGAGGATGGTATAAGTCTAGTTAAAGGAGAAGGAATTCAGAAATAAATGATATCATCCATATGTTGCTGGGCAACCCTTTCTTATTTGCTCTCATAGGTCTGTATTTGGGCTTTTAATGACTCTTGGTCTTGGCCCCACCTTTACCGTGAAATCTCTCATGGATGATCTTATGGTTGTCTGTGATCCTACTTCGTGTAACTTTATGAGGTGATTTGAAAAGATGTTAATCCTATGAAGATTAAAATCTTTGGGAGCTTAGCCTTGGAACTGTTAATACGGTGGATTGACTTCTTAGATATTACCTCTTCCGATCAATATTGACCACTATTTAGTACCTAGAGTCTAAAGTTAGCTGTATTGAAAGACACAACCCAAAAACATAATGGCTTGAGCCCATTGGAGAATATATTAAAGTTAAAGGCATTGGAAGTGAACATGCCAACCTAAGCATTGCATAGCTCAACTAGCTAAAACTTTATATTATTGACCAAAAGGTGAAATGTTCAAAAAATCAAATCCCTACACCACACGTCAGTAACTCAAAAAAAAATATATATACATAAAAAGATTAAGAAAAAGCATTAAAAGTGATCATGGCCAACCAAATCCAGAGTTCAAAAGAATAAATATGGCTGATAATGTAGTCATCTAGAAAACTTGGAGCATTCAATCATTGAAATTGTATAGTTCCAGTATATGTAGTTTCAATTTACTTTTGGTGATAAAGTTCAACGGTTACACAATTATTTAGAAGCTAAACTGTATGTTTAATGTTTTTGGACGCAGGAAGAAGTTTGGCCCTCTAAAACTTTCCAAGTAATTGACAAAGAGGCAACTGCTAATACTGCATCTGCACGTTGACTATATTTACAATAGCAAAGAAAAGTATGCATGAATGGGAGAAAAGACTCATACCCTCCGTTGAACCACCACATGTTGATAGAATGAAGCAATGAACTGCAAAATGAAATCAGTACGCAACTTCTCAGTAGCTGCATTAATGAATATATAACATTTCAAGAGCCATACATTATCCTGCTCGAAGAATAAATTATTATAAAAGACATAACTACAATGGTTATTTGGCAAGAGTCCACCACTATGAAGTCAAACATTAAGATAGATCCACATCTCTTACAAATGCTTGCTTTCTCACAAAAGATCTACTATTTCATTCCAATAAAATTTCCCAGATAACTGCCCATCTTCCTTTTAAACTTGTGGCCGAAGAGTAACTGCTCCTAATTCACTTTTGCATGTAAGCTTGAGAACCCATGGTGCTCTCGGCACTAAAAACAGAACCCTCCAACAGAATAAACTACACTGACAGAGCTGAAAACGAATGATTTTGAGTTTTTTCGTGAACAAAACATAAGCACACACCAATTCAAAACTCATTGCCAGTTGAACAACATCCACCTACTGACCACATCATACATCAGCCAAAAAAACAAGCAGCCTAATCTTGGAGCCTTCTTTTCTAGATTGTGTTCAAAGGGTAATGGTTTAAAAACTGACAACTTAAAGAACTCACATCATGACAACGTGTCTTGCATTCTCTTACCACCACTATTGGTAATCTGCTTTCCTTGTATCTTTTCTAACAGAAACTACTTTCACTTCTTATTCCACCAGAGATCTTTTTTAGAAACGAAGAAACAAATGTAAAATCCGTCCTATTTGAAACTGCAAATTGTTTAGTGAAAATTGGCTCTTGCAGAACATGTTAGAGCTCACTGACAATTGCACTCTTCCAACATTTTAACCAAGATGCTACACTCTGAACAGTACACAAGCATCGCCCTCCAGTAGCTATCCTTCCAACTCCACAATATTTCTTTTCTTTCTTTTTTTTTTTTTTTTCGGGAATTAGAAATGATATATTATTATTATTATTTTTTTAAAGGAAGCCTCTCGACTATATTTTCAGTTCCTCTTGAATCTTGATTACCTCTTGCACAGCAGCAGTGTGGCAAAAAAGAAAAAAAAAAAAAAAGTTCCATGGCAAAAAAAGTGAAGTAAAAAGTTTTGAATTGAAGTACTCGTTATTCTTAATCAAAATTTCAAATATTGTAGCATTGTGATCAACTCCATTTAGATTAATTTATCTTATAGGCTCACATGGGGTAAGATGTCTATTCTGTTATTTCAGATAAACCAAAATCAAAGATTCGGACTCATGCAAGTTCGATAAATTACACTATTTTTTTCACCGAAACACCAACTTTGTGTTCATTCCCAAATTCAAAACATAAATATGTTAAATCTTATAAACCAAATAACAAACTCTTACGGTCAAAGGACAGTAGTACATGCAATCAATAATTTAATTTATGCATAAACAAACCTGTGAATTTTTTGCAAGTTCAAGACCAAAATTGAAAGATGGGCTCAAAGGGCTCCCCGAACCCACATCATAGCCAATGGCACAACTCCAATTCATTAAATTTTTGAATGACCCACCATCTTTATTCCCATCTAAAAGAAACGAAAACAACAAGATCAATTATTTAACAAGAACCAGTTCAACTATTAATATAGACTTTTTGACAACATTCAAAAACAAAAACAAGAGTTTCAAGAAGCTTGACAAAGAAAGGATGTTGATACCAGAAATTTTCTTAATTGTATATACAAAGAAAGGATATTGATATTATAGATAGGAGCGGACCAGAAATTTTCTTAACTATATATATGATCTTTCCGTTATAAAACTTGGGTGGGGGGGAGTGGAACTAGAGGAAAACTACAAAATCATAATTATTATTATACATGTAATTTAAGACAAACTAGGGGCCACCCTAGAACCCCTTTCAATTCTAAAAAGTTTGAGGAGGGGGACTAGAGGAAAACTTTAAAATCAAATTATTTTATACCAATAGTTTTTTTATTTAAGACAAACAAGTAAGGGCAATTGCCCCTTCCTTCCTTGTCCACCCTGCCCTTGGCCCACCTTGACAAACAGAGGAATTAACTCTTGTATTTTTAACACGTGAGGTATGTAATGAAGAATATCATTGGTTGTTCTTGAAGATTTAGATGCTAGGCTGCTTCATATAGTTCATATTTGTGATCCCCTTGGTTTATTATATATAGGTAGCGGTCATGAAGTCTCTTCTCCAATGCTCATACAACTACAATATTCATATTGAAATCTCAAAACTGTCAGCATTTCATGATGTTTCTCTAGTAGAAGCTCTACACATGTGAAATGACTATCTCATGATTTTCTCTCAAAACATAAATAGAGCTAAAATATGAGGGTCTTGTGTGGTCAAGGCATACTCTTCAGGATATTGGATTCGAAAGAAACTTTTGAAGATATCTTGGGATTATGTTGGCTAGTGGGACAATATCATTTTTCCGGTTCTTCTCGTTGTACTCATTCTAGTTTTTTTTTTTTTTTTTTTGTACCTATGGTCCTTTTTTTTTAATAAACCAATTGGCATAACAAATCTCAAATGTTAGGGAATGGAAACTAACATTTGTAAATGCCCTATTGCTAAATATTACTTACATTGTGGCTCAAACTGCACTCCAGTAGTTAGCCTCCCCATCTTGCTGACCAGCCATGCACTTTTAGGTAGTTCATCTTTCGCTGCAAAGCATTATGATGACAATACAGAGGTCTCTGACTCATTACTAGAAATTTGGAAAGTTAAAAACAATGATATCCATGAAATTACACTCAATATAGTAGCTCAATACATATATGCACAACAGAGCATCCAGAAAAGAATAAAAGAAGAGCTGAAGGATTTACTAGAATTTCCTTTCCTTTTATGAGGAAAACATTTTGATCCATATTAAAAGATAAATGCATGTGCACTTTTTATATAGAGGGAAACAATTTATTTTTCTACAAGAATACTGAGTACTAAGTACAAATAATACCATTTGCACAAATCAAAACTAAGAACGAGTTTCTCAGTACCATTGTAATACATTTTCTCTCCTTTCCTAAGGTTAGCATTCTATTTCCTAATCCACTCATTGCTTCACCAGCACGCACAAAAAATGGAGGTGGGGGGAAGAGAAATTGAGAATCAACAGGAAGTAAAGAAAGAACAGAATGGCTGGAGTGCGATCCTCTCGGGGTAGTAATCAATAAATAATAACAGAGATTTACGACCCAAAGGAGGGAACTTGTTCCCACCCTATCAATGCAGCCAAAAACAAATTAAATTTCCACTTACAACCTTATCGACTTGAGGAGGGTTATACTTTTTTTTTGGATACTGAGGACAAGAACAGGTAATAGTTATAGGTGCATATATGTGAGATAACTGCATTTGTTATGGTTGGAATATGAGAGATAACTGACACATATATTATCGGACCATACACCCACACCAACACGCTTATCAGAAGGTAACTCATTATTTACAGGAGAAAGGCTTAAGTGTGATTCCAACTGACAGATTCCTTGAGCCATATCTGAGCCCCATTAGACCAAAGTCCTCAGAACATAATCTGCAGATAGTGAACCATGTCAACATATGCCTCGAGGATGTCCACTAAATAACTATAGGACACATTAGTCCCAGAAAAGTTGTACGCTGTCATGTGCGTGTATATATAGATATTATAGTGTTCAAACCTTTTCTTCCGTATGACTGGGAAAATACCAAAAGCTCCAATGCCATATTTGGGGTAGTATGCACATGATCTCATTTGTAAAACCCTGGAGCCAGAAGCCAGCATATATAAATCACCATAATGAACAGGGATGCATCAATGTAACCAAGAATAAAATTTGAACTTGAAGGGGTAGTATCTCTTACGGATCAGAGTTCGATACATAGAGGTCCATAAATGTATGGGGATCATCAATGCCACTGTCCAACAAAAAATCTTGTTCTCAAGAAGAAATCAGCAAGAGTCTAATAGGCATCTGTGGGAAGTATAGGCATCACAGAAGATTACCTTTGCCATCGAAACAGGGCATTCCCTATGATCTCCTCAGGTTTATGATCGAGTGGACCTGATACCTAAATAGGTTAAGCAGAAACCATGATCCTTTCGCATCCAATCTACTCAAATAACGTACATTTTTTTCACAAAGGGATAGTAAATTACGGAATTATATATTGAGCTTTTGAAATTTGGCAATGATAACTAATTTGTGAATAATCATATAGCTTCCAAGGGATACAGTTGCGACTAAATCCACGTGAGGGTCATCAATGGGCTTAAGCATGATCACTGTGCTAAAATGCCTTGCCTCATCGAAATATTCCTCGAAAAGACATTTTAAAGCAAGCTTCCCGAATAGCAGATTATATGATGACTCCAACATCCTGCATGTAAATAAAATACGGTTTTTCACAGCATCCCCACACACAAAAAAAAAAAAACACAATAGTCCGACAAATCAACAATACTCCCAGGCGCTAAAATTGAAATTATTCAGTATTCACACAGACAACGCACAAACCATGGAAACCATTAAATGTCAAGTAAGACCTCAAAAAAAAAAAAAAAAAAATGTCCAACATGCAGAACTCAGCTTCCCAGTCACATAAGTTAAAAAAATGGTTATCTGCAGTCTTACCCTCAAGAAACACCATGGCAATGCGCATAAATGGTACGAACAGAAGAGAAGGTTAGAAAAAACGTACCTGGTACGAGCAGCAAGCGGAGGATAATCGAAGAGCGGCGGAACAAGAACCATAGGAGGCGGAGGCTCCTTGTTCATCCAATTTCCCATTGCCACTGGGAGTAACAGTAGAATACAGAGAATTGGAGAGAGGATCAAACCGAAGAGAAGGAAGCAGGACGAGGGAAAAGAAGAACAGTGAAGATGAAGACGAAGAAGATGAGAGAAGATGAAGAAGACGGTTAGGGAAAGCGGGAGTTGTGAAATGTAGCCCGCGCATCTCTCCCGATGTGGAAGAAAGTGTCAAGCTTTGTAGCCCAGCGGAATCCAACTACGTGTCGCTCACTGTCCAAAGGTTCGTAAATACATTTCTTGGGGTCATAAAAACAAATAATAATAAATAAATAAAATAAACAAATAATAATAATAAAAAAAATTATATTTTGATCTTAATTTGGACGAGAGCAATCTTGAGAATGAGATAACTATGATAACTAAAAAGGATTTAAAGCGCCTAAAAGTTACCATTTATACCAACAATGTGCACTATTCTCGATAGTTCCATTGTGTAGGAACTTCATGTTGGGTGATCTCTTAAGAATTGCACGTGAATGAAGGCGATATGTAATAGTTCAAGCCAACTGCTAGTATATATTGTATACTTCATTTTGTTACGTATTGCCGTCAGCCTCACAATTTTAAGACACGACTGCCCAAGCTTACCGCTAGCAGATATTGTTCGTTTTGGTCTGTTACTTATCGCTGTCAGCCTCACGATTTCAAAACACGTATGCTAAGGAGAATTTTCACACCCTTGTAAGAAAATATTTTATTTATTTCTCAAACCGACGTGGGATCTCACAATCCATCCCTTGGGGCCCAAGGTCCTCGCTGACACACTGCCCCGATGATAGCTCGATACCATTTGTAACAATTTAAGCTACCGCTAATAGATATTATTTGTTTTGGTCTGTTACGTCTCGCCGTCAGTCTCACGATTTTAAATCAGGTATGCTAGGACTAGATTTTCACACTCTTACGAAAATGTTTCGTTGTCGTCTCTAACTCATGTAAGATCTAACACGATAATTGGGTCACTCTCAAGAAAAATGGTAGTGAATAATGAATATGGGGCTGCTAGCTTTAAGTAGTTCCTCACCAATGGCATTCTTCATTTGTTTATTTATATACCCCCAAATACTTGGATTGCTATTAGCCTCCAAATTCCCTTCTCATCGTTGTGGTTTACAAGCCTCCATGTCATCTCTCTTTTGTTTTTTCTTTCTTTTTGATTTTGCAGTGAGGAAATCCATCATATAATTTTAAGGTCGATTTGAAAATTTGAGCTCTTATTGATTCTGATGGTCACTTTATGGAATCAGTAATAAATAAGTGGAAAGGAAGACGACAAGGAGCAAAACGTTGAAGAAGAATATGGCGTTATGGAATTTGGATGTCTGCATTTAAGATCGGTGTGGCTGCATGGGTGTGGCGCATCGGGCAGATAGCGGGCAAGTTTTCTGCGCCTCTGCTTCTTTTCCATTCATTTGTCAACTCCATTGCTCCATTCACATACTTATTTTCTTGCCACTAATACCTCCAATTTATCTATTAACTAGATTTTTGGATTCTCTCTCTCTGTTCTTGTTTTTCGTTGCGCTTCTTAGATTGACTCATCAGCAACATCAGAACCCAGGTTGAGATTTAACCCTTGGTTTTGGTTAATCTGTTTGAAGTCCGTGAAGGCAAGAGAAGAACGGCTATTTCAGCTGTTTCTGATCGTTTTACTGTTTGATTGAACGTCTTCTTGCGGTTTTTTGCAGGTAATTTTCACAATTTCATTTGTGTTGTACGATATTCTACTCTGTTTTATCCACTAGAAAGAAAGTCGAGTTTTCCATGTCCACCAGATTCATCTCTGTTTTTAGTTTTTCCCGTTTGGACGATGGATGTTGATTTCCTGGCCTTTGGAATTTCTGCACTCTCTTTTTGGTCCTTTTTCCTTTTTGGTAGTTTGCCCATTTTGAGGGGTCGAGATTATGATTGCTTGAATTGGGTTAGTTTCCGTATGAACTTCAAAGTAGAACGCGATGTTGCTTATGGGTAATTTTAGGAGCCAAAGAAGCTCGTGAATGAATGGAAGCGGTGGTGCATGCAATGAAGCAGAGTGGCCAAATGGCTCGTTACTTATCACTGTCAACCTCACGGTTCTAAAACGCGTCAAAAAACGCGTCAACTAGGGAGAGGTTTCCACACCCTTCTAAGGAATATTTTGTTTCCCTCTTCAATCGATGTGAGTTCTCAACAATCCACCTCGTTAGGGGCCAGTGTCCTCGCTGGCACACCGTCCAGTGTATGGCTCTGATACTATTTATAACAGGGCTTGTTACACATCATCGTCAGCCTCATAGTTTTAAAATGTCTCTATTAGGGAGAGGTTTCCACACCCTTCTGAGGAATGTTGTGTTCCCCTCTTCAACGGCATGGGATCTCACATTTATATGTTTTGTAGACATTTAAGACACTTGCAAGTGATTTATGCTCCCAAATGTTCCCTGTTCTCTCTTTCTTACTCCTCTTGACTGCAGGGCTGCAATGGCGATTTGTATACCTATTGGGAGCTGCAAACTGTTCTGCAGGGCGGTAGATTTGAAGTTGCAAGGTTGTAAAAGAGCCCAATGGGACGCTAGTATAGCTTTCAAAAGTTGCTTGCAGGATGCGTTTTCACGGTACTCGACATAGATACCGAACATAGACGAATCTAACCATCAAAACAAATTGTAGTTTACTGCATTCCTGCTTGGATCACTTCTATTATTTTGCCAAAATCATGTTTGTCAATAGGGTCCAGAGGAAAAGTACTTGGATATTTCACATTTCTAGAGTTGATCCGCCAAATATGACGGGAACAGAGAGTGACTTCTCTTTATACCCCACTAAACTTTGACATAACACTGAAGAACTTTATAAGACAATCTTCTAGTTTTTGTTTGATACTCTTATTTTTATCTTGTATCTGGTTATATTAGTTGAATAAAATCATAAATTGTTGCATTTGTAGTGTTAGAAGATGCTCAAGCACACCAATGTCCACAAATTGAGAACAATTTTGATTCTGTACTAGTATGAAATGAATTTTGAAACATGCATTCATTTTCCTGTCTTCGAAGCAAAGAAAATATGTGATCAAATAGAATTATTTGTACGTATGAAAGAAGAATTTCATAATGTGATGTAAATTTCAACTTCTATTTGGGCGTTTGAAAATATTAGGAAGACATTTTTGTGTGTTATATGGGTAGCCGTTTAGAATTCTTCACCCTTCTACTATTTAACACCATAGCCTTCATATTACTTATTATTTGCACAATTATCCAGGTCATATGGATTAAGTAAGTTCTCACGTGTACGAAGAAGCAAGACTTCCTCACCTACAATTAATGAGAAATGGAGAACTCCGACGACAGTCACTTCGGCGTGCTTGAGTGACGGTTCAACAAAGTATTTTGACTTTATTGTTATTGGTAGCGGCGTTGCTGGCCTTCGTTATGCTCTTGAAGTTGCAAAACATGGATCTGTAGCTGTGATCACCAAGGCTGAACCTCATGAGAGCAATACAAATTATGCTCAAGGAGGTGTTAGTGCTGTTCTTTGTCCTTCAGATTCTGTTGAAAGTCATGTGCAGGATACCATCGTCGCCGGGGCTCATCTGTGTGACGAGGAGACAGTTAGAGTATGTTTTCCAGCTTGCATATCATACCTTCACACATTTTTTAAAGTTCATTACCTTTTCTCTTTCTTTCTTTCTTTCTTCTGAAATTGCCTGTTTTCTTTAGGTTGTATGTACAGAAGGGCCTGACAGAATCAAAGAGTTGATTGCTATGGGTGCTTCATTTGACCATGGGGAAGATGGTAATTTGCATCTAGCAAGGGAAGGGGGACACTCTCATCGTAGGATTGTTCATGCCGCAGATATGACTGGAAGGGAAATCGAGCGGGCTCTTTTGGAGGCCGTTGTCAGGGATCCTAATATTTTTGTGTTTGAGCACCATTTTGCAATTGACTTACTTACTTCCGAGGTTTGCCTTTCCCTGTTTCTTTCAACAAAACTTTTGTTTTCTTGTTTCTTACGAGTTTATTGTACTTTGAGAAATTTAGACATCAGGTGAGATCCCACGTTGGTTGGAGAGGGGAATGAAACATTACTTATAAAGACATAGAAACCTCTCTCTAGTAGACACATTTTAAAACCTTAAGGGTAACTCCAGAGGAGAAAGCCCAAAGAGAACAATATCTGCTAGCGATGGGCTTGGGCTTGGTTGTTAGACAAGAGTAATATCAAAAAGTATAAACAAATGCTTAAATGCAGCCATGTGAAATGATGTTGCTAATATTGCAGGATGGTTCTGACATAGTTTGTGTTGGTGTTGATACTTTGAATGCTGAAACACTGGAGGTGATATCTCGGTTCATCCCCATATCTGAACACAGTTTTGAGTCTTAAACAATTCACGTATTCTGCCCTTTAATTTCTTTCCTCTCGTGTACTTCCAGGTTACACGGTTTATTTCCAAGGTGACTTTACTTGCCTCAGGTGGAGCTGGACACATGTATCCATCAACAACGAATCCCCTGGTACTTTTCATTTCCATTCTACAACCTTCTCAACGAAACTAGTTATGTCATGTGGGTTACGGTCTGTTAGGAGTGCGGGCAGGATAGAAGTTAGGAATGTTATTAGAATGGAAGGGATACAATTGTAGTTAGCTCAGAAATTGGTCATAAACAGAGGAATTGAGGAGATAGTGTTGGGCAATTGATCGGTAATACAGACTTGAGGTTATTGTACTTCTTTTAACTTGTATCTTTTATCTTTCAATACCATTTTAATTGTTTGGTTCCAATCAGAATCTTGCATGCAATAGTATCTTGTTTGGTGGATATATTTATTCTAATGTTAGTCGACATCGTCTTAAAGGTTGCCACTGGAGATGGAATTGCCATGTCTCATCGAGCTCAAGCTGTAATTTCCAACATGGAGTGAGTAACCGTCTCAGTCATTGTGATTTGTCTTATGCCTATTCTTTTGATTGCTGTGGAGCTTGGTTGTTAAATGTAACAGTTCAAGCCACCGCCAGGACATCCTTTTTGAACTTTCCCTTCCAAATTTTTCCTTAAGGTTTTAAAATGCGTCTGCTAGGGAGAGGTTTCCACACCCTTATAAAAAATGTCTCGTTCCCTTCTCCAATTGATGTGGGACCCCCAATCCACCCCATTTGGGGCCCAATGTCCTTGCTGGCACACTGCCTCATATCCATCTCTTTTGGGGTTTAGTCTCCTCGCTGGCACATCGCTCAGTGTCTAGCTCTGGCTCTGATACCATTTTTAACGGCCGAAACCCACCGCTAGTAGATATTGTCTTCTTTGGGCTTTCCTTTCCGGGCTTCCCCTCAAAGTTTTAAAATGCATCTTCTAGGGAGAGATTTTCACACCCCTATATAGAATGTTTCGTTCTTCTCTGCAACCAACATGGGATCTCACATTAAATAAAAATACGAAATACATTATCTTACATTTCTAGTATTTCTTTGACTTTCGAAGATGCGGTCGTAACTTTGTTCTTGTGATGTTGGTTAATTTTTAGTAATGTTTCCTTTCCTGGAGTATATTTGGGTAATGATTTAGGATGATAGGAGTCATGGTTATTAATAGATTTTATTATCTAATGCAGATTTGTGCAGTTCCATCCAACTGCCTTAGCTGATGAAGGCCTTCCAGTTAGACCAGACAAGCCAAGAGAAAATGCTTTTCTTATAACCGAAGCCGTTCGGGGTGATGGAGGTATCCTGTACAATTTAGGTATGGAAAGATTTATGCCATTGTACGACGAGAGAGCCGAGCTCGCCCCGAGAGATGTGGTGGCTAGAAGCATAGATGACCAGCTGAAAAAGCGAAATGAAAAGTATGTACTACTAGATATTAGTCACAAGCCCAGGGAAAACATCCTCTCCCATTTCCCCAACATTGCTGCTGAGTGCCTCAAGCATGGTTTGGACATTACATGCCAGCCAATTCCAGTGGTTCCGGCTGCTCATTACATTTGTGGGGGAGTTCGTGCGGGGCTTCAGGGGGAGACCAATGTGCGGGGTCTGTATGTTGCAGGTGAGGTTGCCTGCACGGGTTTACACGGAGCCAACCGTCTAGCTAGCAACTCATTGCTGGAAGCTCTAGTTTTTGCACGAAGGGCAGTTGAGCCCTCTGTTGATCATATGAAGAGCTCAAGTTTTGATTCTCGTATCTTGAATAAATGGGCTAGACCTTTCGTGCCCGTGTCCCTCGGAAACGATTTCATGAGCAGAATCATATCGATGACTAACGACATAAGGAAACAGTTACAACTAATCATGTGGAAGTATGTAGGAATTGTTCGGTCGACCACGAGGCTCGAGACTGCAGAGCAGAAGATCAGCAAGCTAGAAGCAACATGGGAAGAGTACTTGTTTCATCAAGGATGGGAACCAACCATGGTGGCTCTGGAGGTTTGCGAAATGAGGAACCTGTTTTGCTGCGCGAAGCTGGTCGTAAGCAGCGCCATCACTCGGCAAGAGAGCCGTGGGCTTCATTACACCATAGATTTTCCTCATCTTGAGGAGAGTAAGAGGCTTCCGACCATCATATTTCCTTGTTCACCCATCAAGAGTACATGGAGCTCGAGACAGCTTCACTGGCAGCCTGTGTAGTAGTAAGTAATGTCTCTCCTTGTGTCAAATCCAGTGCTGCCTAAATATTTGTATTTACAGGACTTAGTTATAATTCTTGTGTAGTCTCATTAGCCTTAGGCTAAGTGCAGCATTTAAGAGAACGGTTCACGTTGTTGGTAGTTTTTATTTTCTTTCGATGTTTCCTTGTATAAGGTTGTTAGTATTAGCTGACTTAAGTTTAGTCGTGAATGGAGGTGCCCGAAGGTTTAAAATGAACACTTTAGTATCGGAGACATGATAAATAGTTCTAAATAGTAATTGTACTGTCAGTTGACTACAAAAAAAAATATTATAACAATTCAAGCACACCGTTAATATATATTGTCTGCTTTGGTTCGTTTAAACACGATTTTAAAATGGGATTACTAAGAAGTTTGAATCCAGCGAGTCGAGATTGCCACGTACGGACGAATGTCTTCTTGGGGAGCACAATTTCTCTGCCATGATTGAAGATGAGAATCCCTGTCTCGATCTCATATACTACCTAGAACGACGCTCAAATTTCAACAACGCTTTTGGCCCACCGACTTGTCGGATACGCTCAATTTCCAATTTCAGCCGCTTTCACTTCCCATTACCTAAATGGCTATGAAACCAATGAAAATTTTGAGCAGTGAAAAAGCTCAGACGGGTTGCTTGCGCTTTTCTCTGTTGCAAAACCATGGACCCACTGAAGCTCCGCCGTGTATTGGTGCTTCTGTTCCTGGGTTTAGTGGGATGGCCGATGACGTCGGTTGGCGCCGCCGCTGGTGGCGGTGGCGATTCGGCGAGTTGTCGGTTTCCGGCTGTGTACAACTTCGGTGACTCGAACTCAGACACAGGAGGAATATCAGCTGCATTCGACGCGATTCAATCACCCAATGGCATGACCTTCTTTGGACATCCTTCTGGGAGGGCCTGCGATGGCCGTCTCATTATAGACTTCATGGGTAAGTTACCAAATTTTCTCATATCTCTCTGTTTGTGAAGATTATGCACAAATCACTATCTGGGTCTGTAAATTATTGCTCAGTAACTTTAAGTTTGAGCTCTTAAGATCAGTGATGGTTTAATCTTTGTTTAGATTGTTGAGACTTGAGGCCTTCCAGTATAATTAAGTAGTAAAACCATGCAAGTTTAGCTATAAATTGCATTATCATAAGATATTAGAGACGGTTAGACGAACACGACTCTCCACAATGGTATGATATTGTCCACTTTGAGCCTAAGTTCTCGTGGCTTTGTTTTGGGCTTCCCCAAAAGGACTCATTTCAAAGGAGAGAGTATTATTTGATTATAAACCCATGATCATTCTCTAAATTGACCAACGCGGGACTTGGATGATAAAGTTTCCATGAAAATGGCTTACAATACCATTAGTATATCTAAGTATCTAACAGAGTGAACTCATCAATCAGGATTTTCTATATTTGGAAGCCTTTTTTGGTCTTTGAGTTCTTCATTTTCAGCTCTATCAACTGATATATCTGATTCTTTTGCAGCCGAGAAGCTGAAAGTTCCTTACCTGAGTGCATATCTGGATTCAGTAGGAACAAGCTTTAGGTATGGAGCTAATTTCGCAACCGGCGGTTCGTCGATTCGTCCCGGTGGTTACAGCCCTTTTCATCTTGCTCTCCAAGTCTCACAGTTCATCCAGTTCAAATCCCGCACCACCTATCTATACAATAGACTCCACTCCCACAGTCAGTTTCTCATTCATTACTCTATGCACATTACACTTCTCAGGACAGAACAAAGCTTCAGCTTCTTGTTGTGTGAATTTTCTCATGTTATGTCTTTAACAATGGCTATTATGTTGGCTACTTGGTGATAGACAGCACAGCTATACCAATGGAAAGCAGTATCGCGAGGCCCCGGGAGTTTTCGAAGGCGCTATATATGTTCGATATTGCACAGAACGATCTCTTCCATGGCTTCCAATACTCATGTGAAGAACAAGTTAGAGCTTCCATTCCAGACATGATAGACACGTTCTCTGAAGCTGTGCAAGTAGGCAATCTAAATCCCTCACTCAACAAAATATACATAAAACACGGCCTTAGACTGTTACAAATGGTATCAGAGCCGGACACTGAGCGGTGTGCCAGTGAGGATGCAGGCCCCTAAGAAGAGTGGATTATGAGATTCCACGTCGGTTGGAGAGGGGAACAAAGTATTTCTTATAAGGGTGTGGAAACCTCTCCTTGACAGACGCATTTTAAAACCGTGAGACTGACAGTTATACGTAATGGGCAAAAGCGGGCAATATCGGCTTGCAATTTCCTTAGACTGTTACAAATGGTATCAAAGCTAGACACCGGGCGGTGTGCCAGCGAGGATGCTGGCCCCCAAGGGGGTAGATTCTGAGATCCCACATCGGTTGGAGAGGAGAACGAAACATTCCTTATAAGGGTGTGGAAGCCTCTCCCTAACAGACGCGTTTTAAAATTGTGAGGCTGACGGCGATACGTAACGGGCCAAATCAGACAATATCTGCTAGAGATAGCATTGGAATGTTAATGAAAACTCTAATGTTGTTCTTGGTGCATGTTTCAGCAAATATACAAGGAGGGGGCAAGGTATTTCTGGGTGCATAACACAGGTCCAGTTGGATGTCTACCTTTTACTATCTTGAATAACCAGAGGCCAAGTAATATAGACAGCATTGGGTGTGTCAAGAGCGCAAATGAAGTCGCTCAAGAACTCAACCGGCAGCTCAAGAATCTGCTGCTAAAGCTGAGAAAAGAGCTTCCTCTAGCTAGAATCACTCACGTAGACATGTATTCAGCCAAATATCTTCTCATTAGCAAGGCGAAAACTCTAGGTTGTTCTTCTTTTCTCAAAATTTGAAGGGAAGAAAGTGGTAGCCGACTAACTTCAGTGTTGAAACTGGTGCAGGTTTTGTTGATCCAGTGAACTATTGCTGTGGGAGCTTCCATGGCTTACACCTCAACTGTGGGAAGAAAGAAGCTGTGAATGGAACAGTCTACGACAACAACGCTTGCAAGGATCCATCAAGGCATGTTAGCTGGGATGGCATACACTACTCTGAGGCTGCAAACTTGTGGGTTGCTAACCACATTTTGAATGGCTCATTTTCAGAGCCACCATTGCCGATCGACAAAGCGTGTCGAGTATGAAGAAAAGATATAGCCACAGATGACCGATCGCTCTACAATACTCTAATAGGAATGGTTACCAATACGATGAATTGAACCATTATAAGTCGATGAAAATGTACTCGTAAGATAGTACTTCGAAATAAATGAACTACAATGAGTGCATAAATATGGAAGGATCGGCTGATTATGAGCAGAATCAACATTTTTTTAAATCCAAATTCTTGGTGGAAGAACTTGATTAAAAATTTGTGTTGGATCAAAAGATTTATCAGAAATGAGAATAAAGCCAACGGCATCAATTACAATGCGAGTCCGAATTTCAATGTTCTTCACCTTTCGCTTGTGTACTGTTTTTGTCCCAATTAGCCTCTGTAGATTCCACTTCCAATCATTTCATTTCCCATTACCCAAATAGCTATGAATCGCGTCTGATTACTTCATCTCCTCAACGATTGAAGAACTAAGCAGTGAAAATCATGGGGTTACTGAAGCTCCGCCGTCTGCTGGTGGTTCTGATTCTCGGTTTGTTAATTGGCGTTACCACAGCAGGTGGTGGTTCGGGAAAGTGTGGATTTCCCGCCGTATATAACTTTGGCGACTCAAATTCAGACACAGGCGGAATATCGGCGGCATTCAATGCGATTCAACCGCCCAACGGCGAAACCTTCTTCCGACGTCCTTCTGGAAGGGCTTGCGATGGCCGTCTCATTGTAGATTTTATAGGTAAGTTCCCCATTCTCATATCTCTTTGTTTCTGAAGATTATGAACAAATTTCTAGCTTGAGTTCTGCTGTTTAGGTTTAGAAACGCAAAAGGGGGATACGATTTTGACCATGAAAATGGCTTACAATTTAGCAGTTTTTTGAGTGAATCAAGCGATGATCATGATTTTTTTTTGGATTTGGAAGCCTTTTTGGCCATTGAGTTCGTCATTTTCATCTCTATCTACTGATGCATGAATTCTGTACAGCTGAGAAGCTGAAATTGCCTTACCTGAGTGCATATCTGGACTCATTAGGAACAAATTTTAGGCATGGAGCTAATTTTGCAACAGGAGGTTCATCGATTTGTCCTGGTGGTTACAGCCCTTTTCATCTTGGCATTCAAGTATCACAGTTCATACAATTCAAATCCCGCATCACTGATCTGTTCAATCGACTCCACTCCAACAGTCAGTTTCTGATTCTTTACTCTTTACAATATTACACACCTCACGACAGAACAGAGCTTCATTTCTCCGATGTATGAATGTTCTTGGGGGGTCGGTTAGGAACCATGAATCTCCACAATGGTATGATATTGTCCACTTGGAGCGTAAGCTCTCATGGCTTTGCTTTGGGCTTCCCCAAAAGGTCTCGTACCGGTGGAGATGTATTCCTTACTTCCCTAAAGCCTATGGAGCCCTCGAACGACCTCCCCTTTATCGGGCTCGACTCCTTCTCTGGAGTCCTTGAACAAAGTACACCCTTTGTTCAACACTTTACTCACTTTTGATTACACCTTCGAGGCTCACAATTCTTTGTTCGACATTTGAGGATTCTATATTGACATGACTAAGTTTAGGACATGACTCTGATATCATATTAAGAACCACAACTCTCCATAATGGTATGATATTGTCCACTTTGAGCATAAGGTCTCATGGTTTTGCTTTTGGTTTCCCAAAAGCCTCATACCAATGGAGATGTATTCCTTACTTATAAACCCATGATCATTTCCTAAATTAGCGAATGTGGGACTCCCTCCGAACAATCCTCAATAGTGTCATTAATAATAACTATAATGTTAGATACTCTGTGACAGACAAGACATCGATACCAATCAAACGTATAGCGAGGCCCCAGGAGTTTTCGAAGGCGCTATATACGTTCGACATTGGGCAGAACGATCTTGCCTACGGTTACCAACACTCATCAGAAGAACAAGTTAGAGCCTCCATTCCAGATATACTCAACACATTCTCTGAAGCTGTGCAAGTAGGAAACCTAAACCATTCACTCAACAATGCATACACTTAAAAAAGCTTAAATGAAAGCTCTAATGTTCTTTCTGGTGTATGTTTCAGCAATTGTACAAGGAAGGGGCAAGGTATTTCTGGGTGCATAACACAGGTCCAATTGGATGTCTGCCTTACTCTATATTGTATAACAAAAGTCCTGATAATCGAGATAGCAACGGATGCGTGGAGAGCCAGAATGAAGTCTCTCGAGAATTTAATCGACAGCTGAAGAGTCGGCTGCTAAAGCTGGGGAAAAAGCTTCCTCTAGCTAGAATTATACACATAGACATGTATTCAGCCAAGTATCTGCTCATTACCGAAGCGAAAACTCAAGGTCGTTTCTTTTTTCTCGTTAATTATTCGAGTATTGATTTGAACGTAGACGGGTGACTAACTTTAGTATTATAATTGGTGGTAGGTTTTGTTAAGAATCCAGTGAAGTTTTGCTGTGGGAGTTACTATGGCTATCACATTGATTGTGGAAAAAGAGAAGTTGTGAATGGAACAGTTTATGGAAATCCTTGCAAGGATCCATCAAGGCATATTAGCTGGGATGGCATACACTACTCTGAGGCTGCAAACTTGTGGATTGCCAACCATATTTTGAATGGCTCATTTTCAGACCCACCATTGCCAATTGACAAAGCTTGTCGAGCTCCTAGTTACGCATGATAATCACGGTTAGTTTGAATATTAATTGTTGATTCTTCTAGAGTAAATGTGTAACAGCTCAAGCCCATCGCTAGCAGATATTGTTCTCTTTGGACTTTCCCTCAAGGTTTTTAAAACGCGTCTGCTAGGGAGAGGTTTCTACATTCTTATAAAGAATGCTTGGTTCCCCTCTCCAACCGATGTGAGATCTCACAATCCACCCTCCTTCAGGGTCCAACGTCCTTGTTGGCACTCGTTCCCCTCTCCAATTGATGTGAGATCTCTCAATCCACCCCTCTTCAGGGCCTAGAGTCCTCGCGGGCACTCGTTTCTCTCTCCAAATGCTCGAAACTTTGAACTTGTCATTTGAGAGTTCTTGTTCATTCAAAAGGATCAAAAGTAAACTCAAAGCCATTTCATTGCTTAGCATTGAATTGGAAAGCATTAAAACCTTGAACAGATCAGAATAATATCATCAAGTCTTCATTCACCTTTTCTTTCTGGTATCTTCAAAGAACCTTCTCTGGTCCACAGTTTTTCAGTCCAAAGAATCTCCCATTGACTGACCCCCACCTTCCAAAGTCAAAACACTTCCTCCCATTATTTGCTAGAATCACTTTTATTCTGTAAGCCATATATAAATATAATGCTTATGGTTTCCTCTGTACTACGCATCTGATAATGCTCATACTCAACCATTTCAACAACTTATTTAGTACTAGTTTTGATCTTAATAACTAATTTTTACTATATAATTGTTTACTTTGTAGGAACCACAACGTCTCAACACTACAAATTTTCACATTAGCGTTTGATTCTGTCGAAAATCACGCTTGCACCTTTGGAATTTGGTTCGATTGTATCAGAGATGGCAAAAGTTTATGAACACCATTCGGGCTATGAACTCGAGAATTATTGGTGTCCCATAGAGAAGTTGGGTAGATAAACCAAGCTATCCATGTGTTTGTACTTATTAAAAACACTTTTTTTATTAAGGTCATTTCAAACCTACTATCAAGTTTTTCCAACTCGAAAAAGTCATCCGCTCTCTTGGGACCATAAACTAAGAAGTCAGAGGTTCGAATTCTTCCACCCCACTTGCCCTCGGCTCGGCTCGACTCGGCCCGCACCATGTTTGTGGTTAGAAAAGGAAACTTGTAAGTTCACTCACAGCCATGTTTGTCGCCATTCCTAGTTGAGAACAATATAATCTTATCCAAAAGGGAATCAGATTGGGCCTTTTAAAATTCTTGGATGCCAATTCTTGCATTTGTGTTGAAGGGTTACTGCTTTTTTATCTGTATATATTTTTGTTATCCCAACTTGCTCTTTGGGTGCGTTGCTTTTTGGCCATTTCGGTCAATAACGTAGTTGATGCCTTCATATCCTCATCGCAAAGTTCGATAGAATCATCAAAGTACGGCATATCCTCATCGCAAAGTTCGATAGAATCATCAAAGTACAAACCCATAACTCCAAATTTCATGCACGTCCATCTCAAACTCTCCTAAAATAGTTATAAATCACCAACCGAGACTCTTCGTCTTTTTTTCTCCAATTGATTCTAAGAAAACAACTTACCAACAAAATAGAGACTAAAAGGAAGACGGGTTTGTAGTTTTCAAATATTCTTACGCATAAAGATATCTAAACCCGTGTCAACACTCAAACCACATATCTTGAAAAATCACAACCACTCAACATTGTAAGAACAAAAGACTGAATCATCGATCTTTGAAATAGTAAGTGATGTCAAATGAAGTCGTCGTCTTCTCCTCACTCCCTTTGTGCACATGATAATATTCAAATAGAATCGATACAATTTATGAGTTGACCTTAGCTAATTCGAAATATTCTGGTTCTTCTTTATGGAGGCCCCAAACTTTTATTGTTCTACGCACCCAAAGTTACATTATTAGAATATACCTAGTTGTTGACCCTAAAAAGCTTGAAAGAACCTAAATTTCTCGGTATAAAACAGCTTCCTTTGCACCCACTTTCTGGCATCAAAGTAAGAGTTTTTGTTTGATCAGACAATGGATCATTCAGCTGAGACATCTAGGTTTGATCTCCTTCTCCCTGTCTTTGTGTATTTGTTTGTGGCATTGTTTCTAAGTTTTTGACACTAAAAATGGTTGTCAAACAGGCACAAGTGCGCTGCTTGCTTCAGGCAGTTCAACAAGATTGAGCATTTGGTTGATCATATGAGGACCTCTTTCCACTCACCTCATGAACCCACTTGTGCCGTTTGCAAGAAACACTGTCGTTCTCTTGATTCTCTTAGAGAACATCTCATTGGTATGTCGTCGTTTCTACCGATAAAGTCGTAAGCTTTTTGAAGTTCAATAAAAGTTCATATATAAGATCTATAGTGAGATCCCACGTCAAGGGGTGAAAACCTCTCTCTAGCAGACACGTTTTAAAACCGTAAGGCTGATGACGATACGTAACGAACTAAAGCGGACAATATTGGCTAGGAGTGGTCTTCGGCTGTTACAAATGGTATTAGAGCCTGTGTGCCAGCGAGGACGCTGGCCCTCAAGAGGAATGAATTATGAGATCCAATGTCAGTTGGAGAGGGAAATGAAATATTCCTTGTAAGGGTGTGGAAACCTCTCCCTAGAAAACACGTTTTAAAATCGTGAGGCTGACAGCAATACGTAACAGGCCAAAGCGGACAATATCTCCTAACAGTGGGTTTGAGCTGTTTACAAATGGTATCAGAGTTAGACACCGGACGGTGTTGCCAGCGAGGAAGCTGGCACCCAGAGAGGGTGGATTGTGAGATCCCACATCGGTTGGAGAGGGTAACGAAGCATTCATTGTAAGAGTGTGGAAACCTCTCCCTAGTAGATGCATTTTAAAATCATGAGGCTAACGACGATACATAACGGGTCAAAGCAGACAATATCTACTGGCAGTAGACTTGAACGGTTACATATACTATAATGGGTTGCGATAAATTTGCGATAAATTTAATTATATCGACACGATCATGTTGTTATCAGGGCCGCTGCCGAAGCAAGAATGCAAAAACGTCTTCGACATGCGAGGATGCAAGTTTTGCTTGGCCATCCTTGACAGTTCATACTCACAAAGGCTCCACCAAGAAAGATGCCAATTCTCGTGTGTTAATTCTGTATGAACCCTCAACTATCAGCTAATTAAACAGCATGAAAGTTAGTTCTTTAGCTTCAAAATCTTGAATCTTCCATTCTTTTTTGGCTGTTTTGATCAGGGGCTCCTTGCTCGTTTGGCCAACTTGGGAATTCGCGATGGTTCAACCGCCATCGACGGTGGAAGAACTCGAGGCTCCGGTCCCGTGGCGTTAGCTTGCAAATATGTAGGTGGCGGAGATGGGTCGCTGGATGTCTGTGCCAAGGTCTGCCTTATTGATGAGAGTGAAAATGTCATCTTCTATAGCTATGTCAAGCCCATAATTCCCGTTACAAATTATAGGTAAGTTATTTTTCGGGCGAATCCTTTAAAATTTAGAGACCAAAAAAACTTAAAATTTTAGAATTGAATTAGAAAATTTTTATAATTTAACCAATTCGATATGTAAAAATAAAATTAGGTATGAAATGACGGGCATTCGTCCCGAACACCTTCGAGATGCAATGCCATTGAAGCAAGTTCAAAAGAAAATTCAAGACATCCTCTACAATGGAGGTGAGAAAGCTAGGGTTCTTGTGGGTCACTGTGTGGAGGACGATCTCAAACGTCTACAAATCGGATATCCATCCATCATGATAAGGTAAATTCTTCAAACAAAAACTAAATTTATCGTGACCCATCAACTCAAAATTTTAAATTTTTTGTCGAGATTTGAAGTTCTAACCTTATATCAACTTTTTTACGAAACCCTTTTAAGATCTTGACGTAAAAGTAACTAGTTCTAAATATTGCTTGGTTTCATGCACTGATCCACAGGGACATAGCAAATTATCCGCCATTGATGAAGACAAGCAAGCTATGCAATTCACTCAAGTATCTAGCTCAAGTGTATCTTGGGCAAGTACCATTTTCAATTCTAACTTCATTCGAGAACGAACACGATTTTTAAACAATAACACACGAAATGATGATCGAGGAACGTTTATGTAATAAACGAATAATTGGTATTTGTTATTGTAGATTTGAGATTCAAAATGGAGTACAAGATCCTTATGAAGAATGTGTGGGTGGCATGAGATTGTACAAGAGAATGAGATCACAAGTTCATAGGATAGAGCATCATCCAATGGCTTCTGACCCACAAAACAAAAACAACTTCGCAGCTTGGAGGGAAAGTGAGCTTGAGAGGATGAGCCCAGAACAGATGTTGGAGATTTCTAGGTCTGATTATTACTGTTGGTGCATGGATTTGAGGATTTGAGAGCTTCTTCAATGGTGGAATTGATTTGAGATAATATTTATTTGGTGATGGGGTTTGTTTTTTCTTTTAATCAATGGGTTTGTATTGTGTAAAACTTATGGCAAAATCATCTTGTTTGAAATAAACTTGAATTTATTTTGTTGTGGTTGTTGTAATATGAAGCTAGAGATTTGTTCTTACAAGAGGGTTTTAACTTCGGTTCGGCCCGTTTCGTGCAACCGACATAGGAGCCAACTCGGCGTTAGTGGCTTCGTGCCGCTCTAGGGCCTCTGAGTGAAAGAAACAAGGACCCACCACCCAATAAAGGGTGGATGGAGAAAGCCTTCGACCCTTCTTTCTAAATGGGTGCCCCGAGTACCTCATCTTGTCGTTTCGTTGTTGTCAAGGTTTGAGTGTTTGGCGTTTTCTTTTTTGCACTCGCTCACACTTTGGTCTATTTCTTGCATCAAAATCGTAGTTAGAAGTTTCAGCCCTAAGTCAAGGTCATGGTCGACGAAGGTGTGACAATAACATTTCCTTTTACCACTAATAGAACAATAATCAAATTATACCAACAAAAATATACACGAAAAAACGTCTAAATCTCTATGGTAAGAGGTCCATAAATGTAAATGTCTAAATCTCTCTCTAACCGATGACGGTGAAAACAAATAAAACCTATTAATGATAGGTTTGGATGGCTATACCTTTTGTTTTAGTTGACTTTGGAAGATACCTCTCACTGGCAGTGGGCCGCCAAATGGGCAACACAGAATCAATTCCCTTCGAATTCAAACTTTGTTGTATTCTTAGTATCTTCAAAGACAAACCCTTTTTGGGTAAAAGAATAATATGTCCGACCAATTCAATTCTTTCCCACGTTTCTAAAACTCAAACCCATCACTATCACTATCCTCCTAACATGAGTGTTCTTGAAGCCACCACTCTTCCAAACACTTCAAAGAAGCCGGGATGTTTGAAAAAAATGAATTCCAGTTCATAATCAAGTTCGGTATTCGGGAAAACTCGTGTGGAAAGAAATGAACGTCTACACGAGGTCTCATACAACTAGACTCCCTCAATCGTCATCATTTTTCTGAATGTTATTAGTGAAATGCTTACTTGAAATCCTATCAAGCCTGAGTTGTGAAATCCTACCTCGATTGGGGGGAGTAACGAAGCGTTCTTCAACGGATGCTCGAAATTTGAGTTTACTGTCCTAAATTATATAAGCAATTGATCATCACTATAGCCTTCAACGATTTCAGCTTAGTTTAAGCTTAATTAATAACTTTAAACGATAAAAAAAAATTATTTTAAAAAAATACTCTTACTCTATTTGTTTAGAGTTATACTTTATTTCAAATATACTTCACTCTAAAAAAAAAATGTTTAAAAAATATCTTTGGAAACTCAAAATTTTTATTAATACCGGTAAAACTTTTTTAAAAAAATTTAAAATAAAAAATATTTTTAGTTTAAAAATTACTCATAAATTTTTCAATGGTTTTGTCTATATAAAAATGGAAATAACTTAACTTATTTTTTTTTAATAAATTTTAGAGGGTCAATGTTAGTTTTAAAATTTAATGTACAAACTACTAGTATATTTTTAATTTTTAAAAAGTTTTAAAATTAAAAATTTTGAAAGGTGGAAGGGTATTAATA